AATAAAAGTAAGATTCTATCCATATGCTAAATGTTTATTTCTGCCACATCTGTCTTAGCTCAGTACATGTTTTTAAACTTACCAGGACAATGACTTGGAGAACTCCCTTTAAAACTAGTAGGAATTGTATGAACAAATCCCTTAACTTAGCTTTCAGACCTCTACCCATGAGTTAAAAGAAAAATTAGGTTGCAAATCTTGCAAGATTTCAAGGAATCTGGAATGTCACTTTACATCTACCTTTAATGTGTGCTGCAATGCATTTCGGTTATCACCCAGAATCCAGGAAGCAAGAATGTGAGAAATAGGCAAGTCCTAAGGAATTTTTAAAAATCTGTTAGCAGCTGAACATGGAGATTTGAATGGGTTCAGAGGTTTGTGAAGATTTCTTCCATCTCAATTGTCAACTGCTTGCTCATGCTGAACGTACTGATGAGGAAATCCTCAGAGCATGCAGCAGCAGCCCACTGCAGGGACAAACGTCATTGGGAATGTTCCAAAAAAAACTTTGATGCCTGAAGAGTTCTTACCTTTCCACAAGTTCCTTAACATAAAAGGAAATTAATGTGACAGGTTCTGGTAAGCAGAGACAATGTCATTCTTCTGTATTACCTCACCCAAGAACACCCATTTTCCCATTTTTCAGCTGACTGAAGACCAGCTTCTTCTAGTACAGCTGTTTCCTCCTACAGGAACACTCATTTCCATGGCTGCTCTAACAATTAGAAGACAACACTAATCACTGCAAGTACTATAGGCCTATATACGCCATCACACACACACAAAACACTGCTCATTTCTACCATGAATTTCCAGTTTTAAGGGAAGTAGATCAATCTTCACAAAGTCTTGAACACAGCTCTCATAGCATATTCTTCCACAAGAGCTGGGCCAATACAAATGTTATTAAAAGCAAAGGGAAGGGGTTGGATTACCAATGGAATCATATAAGTTATGAAAACCATACAAGCAAATGTCAGTTTCGAAACAAAATACTAACTGTCCTCTGTGTAGGCAAAAAAGCAACAAGTAACATACTCCTTGATGAAAAACACTCCTTGCAAGCCTGAAAGCAAGCCTAAACTGAAAATACAGGATTAAGCACTTCACCTTGTTTTGTTGGGAGTTTCACTGAGCACAACAGGAATATTCCTGTGTGCTTTATGCAAGGGTGTTTACAGGACAAGACTGAATTGCTGAGCCATTACTTTACTTGTGGCTCAGGAATCATTCCAAAGCAAGCATAAGAGAGAATACAGCAACATGTATTTTCAAAATTAATCAAATGCATAATAAATTTTAAGCCATGAAATTTTGAATTTCAAAAATTCAAAAGTTCAGCTCTAGCCCTTCAGTCAATCATCAAGATTAATTACTGCCTTGCTACTAGTCAGTAGTGACAGACAAGTAACTTCAAAGTCACTATCACACAGCTCAAGAGCTAAATACTTCTTCCAAAAGTAAATATTTCCAGAATGAAAACAAAATCCTGCATATTGCTGATAGTACAAATAAGTGAAAAATACAGGAAGTCCATGGTTTTCTGTTCTAAATACAACATTTTTCTGTAAAGGGACATGTTTGCTCGTATGTGAGAAAGAATTATTAAAGTAGAGGTCCATTACCTTTATTTCCACTAGGTACCACATGGTGGTAGCCAATCCAGTGTACACAACAAAATGGGATCCAACAAATCTTATCTACTAAAGTGAATGTTCTGGAACCTCACATTGATTCCCATATCTCAGGAGCCAAGATTATTTCTATCTTCTAAACAAAAAATTATTCTATGCTTATGAGTGTGCACAACATTTAAGATTGTGTCTCATCTTTTAAATTCTTGATTAAAAACTACCTCTTGAACTTTTCCATAATACTTCTTGCCATGTAGTTTAACAATTTCTCTTGTGTCAATGCCAATAAGGCAATATTTGATAGGACTTCCCCCAAAAGCAAGCCAATCACAAAAAAATATATCATATTTAGAAGATGCATGTGTTCATGACGCTTTATTTTCTCTTCATGTATGAGAAATTCTGAAATTTGAACCATCCACTACAAGAAAAGAAGCAACCTCTAACAACAAGAATTTAATCTACCCAAAATGCTCTTCAAGGGTCTCCAGAGAACCAGGACAACCCAGCATTTCATGGCACAGACTCCAAAGCACTGAAGCAAGCGCAAGCTAGATCGGAAGAGTTAAATAAAGCAGCTAAAATTCAGCAGCATTGCAAGCTATTCCAGACTACAGTTACTGTAACCTACACTGGGTGTCCTCTGCATAAGCACCAGTGTGACTTTGTGGACTGCTGAGACTCAGTCTGTTGCAACTGGCATAAGTTGCCACAGGCGAGTAATCACAAGAAACTGACCTTGGCAAAAGCACATTTTACACTTCACTGCTGTTCAACTGTGTTATACTAAAGAGAGAGCAAGTGAGCACAAGCAGAAGGGGGAGGGAGAGAGAACAAAGGGGGATAGAGAGCATAAAAGTGAACGCAGCCATTTTCAGCTTTACCTGCTTTTAAGTTTTTAAGAGAGGTACATCACACCTCCAATGCACATCACAACCTACACATGGTTACATTAATTCTGCATAGTATAATTTTCAAACCATCAGGGCCTGAGGAGATTTTTTTGGGGGGGAGGAGAAAGAAAAGAGACTAAGTACTAAATTAGAAGTTAATATCTAAAAATAAATTCTCCCAACAAGGAGGAGGGAAGTATAGAAGACAATTACAACTTCACATTTTCCTACCACTGGATTAATGCATAAATGAGGCTTTTTAAATTGATCTCTGCTCCTGTTTGGCTACACCTGTTGAGAGTACATTTTTGAATCAGCTGCACCTAATAAAGCCTAAATGTATTCCATGAGGTGTGCAGCAAGATGTAGTAGTCCTAATTTTTAGTATTTCAGCTCAACCTTAAGTTCAGCTCTCAATAGCTCAGCAGCAATTTGCAGGAACTAGTAGGGTAAAATCCCCACTGCTGCACATACAGCCGTGTCTGGCTTTTCTCAACCACCTTTGGTCTCCGATGGCTTGAATCAGTTATTTCCTGTAAGATAATTTTCTTCGTTTCTGCATTACTTTTCTTTGGTATTGATTACTTCATCTCCAAAGAAACAGGACCTGGCAGAGCAAGATGGCACGGGATCCCATCATTAGTGCTAACCCACATCCTGCCCAAATTTTACAGCAAGTTTAACACAAGGATCTAACCTTGAGGGTATGCTGGGTTTCCAGGATATTCACTGGTTGAAGCAAAATATGCAGAAGCTTTGTACAAGTTCCAAAATACAGAATCACTCTCCACTTGGGAAGTGTACAAGGTATGCAAGTCTAGACAAAATAAAATGAGACCACATGCATTTTGTATCTGCTTCCTTACCACTCTTAGGTCAGTGACCTAAGGACTTGATGCAGTTTCTCTTCCAGATCTTGAAGTCTGCTTTTCTCCTGTGTAGACAGTTTCTCAATTCCTCATCTGGTTCCATAAATAAAACTCAAAACCCTGCAACAAAAGCCAGCCTTTGTTCCTCTCAAACATGCAAACCCTCCACATGTCTGTCTTCACAAAGTCTCCATTCCTCTATTAAAACCCCTCGTCCTCTAAATGTCATTTCTACCAGTAAGCAGAAGTGGCTTTTTTTGGACACAGCCATGTTGCTACCTTGAACCGTTCCCTTCTGACAGAGTCTTGTCACGGCATTAATGACCTCCCCTGTCACTGGCCAGGGAGATCCAAGACTCAGCCCTGACAGCAGATGGCTGATTCACACACACTGACGCTCCGCGACTCAACAATGATATGATCACGCTTAGCCTATAAATTATGAAAACAGCAATTCTATGAAGCATGACCTAAAATTTCAAGGGACTGAAGTATTTCCAAGTCTGAACTTCAGATCTGGGTCAAAAAGGTGTCAGCTGTGGATCTGCACAATTTTAATCATCTCATCAGACTGTAGCTCTCCCTCCCACAACACATGATGTTTGCAAGGCCCACGGGCATGCTTCCTGACACTGAGGCAGGACGGTCACAGAGGGCTGGATGGGCCACAAAAACACTCACTGCTTCTGTGAAGCGTGTGAGAAACTCTTGTAGGGTCTAGACAGAGAGTAAATTGATGTCTGTCACATTTTTCTGACTGCACTTGGTCACAAAACAGACTTACTAAAATTTTCATTTACTAAGTCCTGTAGTAATTAGTAGCAGATAGAAAAAGATAAAATTGAAAGGGCACAGTAGTTCTGCAACAATTTCTGTGGGCCCTCAGGCTTGGTTACCTATGGTCGGCATTTCTCACAATGACACACAGCAAAAGAAAGAAAAGGGTGACAAAAAAATATACCTGAAGGGTACTCTTATCCACAGGAAGAGCAAATCTTTGTTTATACTAGGCCAAAAGTAAGCAGATATTTATATTACACAAGAGCACCCTCAGCTGAATGTAAGGATTTGACATCTCTTACTTCTTCAATGCATATCCCAAACAACAGCTTATTGAATTAGTCTCTGTCTTTGCAGCTCCCTGTGGGTCTCCCAAACCACATCGTATTTTAAATGCATGCACCAAGCAGTACTGCTTGAGTCATTTGACTTTGTAGTTCACTAGCTAGGATCTCATTTTCAAGTAATTTTACTCATTAGGCAGAACAGAAACATTAACTGGGTCTTCCCCATCCATAATGCTGGTTACTGTGGGCATCTCTCTTCTCTTTCTTCTTCCTCCCCCATCTCTTTCATATAAGAGAATTACTTACCAGTACATTTCCACAAAATATACAAGGGCTGACAAATCAAAATCTTTTGACATCTAAAAATTACTAGGAAGGTTTAGTTATAGAAATATATACATGGATATGTATCTATACAAAGTATCCAAAGACAATGATCCTGTGGTGTAATGTGGTTGAAATGTTACTAGAATGGGATTCATTTGACCAAAGTATTCTTCCACTGGAAGAAGATTAGTCTGTTTGAATTACATTTACCTTTCTTGAAGTGTTTTAGAAAGAAGTCTTATTTAGTTCAAACTCATCCAATACAACATAAGGACATCCTTGAAGTCCAGAGCGTCAGGAGAGTCTTGCTTTTCCTTCTTGTGAATATTGAGTGTGATCTACAAGAAAAAGAAAGTGGGGGTAAAAATGCTTGGCAAGCAATCCTTTATCTTTTCAATGGGTCAGTATTTTCAAAATCCTTACAGAAAATGGCCCTGACTCCAGATGTTCAATCAACTAATCAATCAGTCAAACAATTGCTACTTGGTTTCCAGAAAGAATTCAAAGATTTATTTTTCCATTCAAATATTCTATCTCTCTCTCTTCACTGTCTTAAAAGAAGATACTAGAGTGAAAGATGTGATTTCCACTCCTTATTAAAAAAAGAAAGAAAAAAACTAAAAAAAAAAAAAAACTTGCAATGTACAGTTTGCATTTTCTGCTATAAACTTAAATTTAATGTCAGGGAATTTATAACTTTATGTTAGAACCTACAGAAGAGAAAGGCTACAGTTTCTCTGATGTGAAGTGCTAATACACTTCACAAAGCCAGAAGCAACTCCTGAAATGGAACTAAACCATGAAAAACATAAAATACCCTTTTCTCCTACTAGACATTTCAATTAATCAACAGCTATTAATTCAACTAGTGAATAAGTTAAACTCAGCAGCTTTGTTGAATAAGCATGGTTTATTCTGGAAACAGCTGTGAGAAGTTCACAAAATTTTATTCTTTGCATTGTCCTGCTATGTCTGGAGTTTCCAGTTTTCTAGGGAACATCACTTCTTCTGGACAGCATGTGGAGCCCATAATTTTGCAGATACTCTTTGGGTATAGTATTAGCTTAGTCCTTCTAGTTCTTTCAGTAACAGGAAGCAAACTCACAAAAGCTTTGCCTCAGATTTCACAGGCATGTGTGTGCCTCTCTCTCAGTACCCAGGCCGACGTGCCAATATGTAGGATTAAACTTTTTCCAAGGTTGAATAAGCCACCATCTGTCTATCTTGTGTGGTGCTGTGCGCCATCCGGGAGACTTGTCCCTTAGAGCATGTTTCTACCATATGTCACTCCTGAGTGATCAGTTATGCCAAGACATTTGGGAAAAAATGACTAAGTCGAGCTGGAAAACCCTTTCCGAATTCCAGAGGAGGTGTGCCAAGCCTGTATTTGCAAATAACTTTGCATCCACTGGTTTTTGCATATATTGTGTGTAACAATAAATAGTAACTTTTACCCAAACAGACATGAGGTGCCTGCCCTCCACTGTCCACAACTCAGGGACTTTTAATAAGCCGAGGGATTCAAGTATGATGCATCTCCAGGAAAAATACACCAAACTTTTACAGCGACTTTTATGATAAATACGCTAAAATAAAGGGAAAAAAAAAAACAAACCCAGATGATAAGAATATATTTCAAGAAAGACTCAGCTTGTTATTTTAAAGCCACAACAAACCAGTAATTTCTTTCAGAATACTCAACTGAAAATACCTAAGGCAACTGAATGCAAGGCTTTTTCCTAATAGTAACCATCTAACACTGGCCATCTAAGGTGCTCACCTGCATGCAAAGTGATCACCTAAACTGTTAAACTGCTGATACAGTTCATGCAATTAGAATTTGTCTAATAAAACGGTTCTTTAAATCTAAAATAGGATAGAGTCATATTCTATCCTATTTTAGATTTAAAGAACCATTTTATGTTCCAATTCCTCAACTATTAAATTAAAACTCAAGCTAGCATCATTCTTATGGCCAGCTCAAGGCTGCTCATTTACATAACTGACTTTCAAGGGCACTTCGTTACACAGCAATTAATATCAGCAAAAAATCTACCAGATCTGCTACCTAATGGTAAGGAAGACATTCTTGAGAACATTAAAAGAAGAGAGAAATTAGTAAATCGTGATTACAGCCTCCCTGAGTAAGATTAACATTGAAAGGAAATATACTCCTAAGGGCAACAGGAGAAATATTAAATATGAGAAGACAAATTATAGGAATTATTACATTTAGTGACAGAAGTGAGATGAGGAGCAGTACTAAAGTCCAAGAGAGAACATCGACCTTTGTGTCTGGCCTTCAGAATTTGGACAATTATTGAAAAAGAGGGAAGACATGAAACAAGGATTCAGTACAGCCCATTGAGATTTGTAGAACAAAATGGAACAAAAAGCAGAAAAAGTTCATGTTAGACAAAGAAAACCACTACTGAAAAAGGGTTATTATTAAAGGAAAATGAGGAAAATTATCACCTCAGAATGGATTATGAGTCTTTTTTTTTAATGTATCTAATTTAAACTGTCTCCTCAGGCACAAAGAGTGCAACTTGCAAAGGTGAGGATGTTGGTAACAAATTAGACTACCAAGGAAAGAAAACCTCCTACTGCAACATGGACTTGCTGAATGGAAAGAAGAGAGGAAAATAAATATAGATCAGCTAGGCAAATCTGGACTGCTTGCCTACATAACACACCTAATGATATTGAAGCCAGCATATTTTTTGAAAGGCTCAGCTCCTTCCTGGCCCACTCCAACAGCCTGAGGCATTCACACTGTTGAGCCAAGAGAGACTGGAGAGGCTGGTTCTACAGCACCAACTTTCTGCTAACTTCTTATTCCAACAAGAAACCTTTAGGGTAAACGTGCACCTGCTCTAATGTCCTCCTTGCTTCTTGCATCCACCTACAGGCCCAAATAACCTTCCCTTCAGGAGGAAATATGATTTGCCCATAAGACTGACCAACTCAGGGGGTTGCAAATGGGGACAAGAGGGAAGGAGGGAAATTCTTCAAAGATGCCAATTAAGAAAATTCTTATTCTGGATAAGAATTTGCACTATGAAGCTGATCAACAGCTTCTACACAGAAGGAACAGCCATGCAGCTTCTGCACTGTCATCTCTTGCCAGAACTACAGCAGAAACAAGAGTTTCTCTTACAACAAGCATTGTGGAGATCCACACATATTGTCGGTAAGGAAAAACTATGGAGCAACATAAAGGGAGAAAACATTGAAACACGGACAAAGATTAAAATTTTTCTTTCCCTTTATTTTCAGCCTAGGGAGGCTCAGGATCTGTCACCCATTTGTTCCACACCAGTGCAGACATCCAAACAGGAATCTTATCACTATTTGGAAACACGATGCTCTTTAATTTGGTTTAATCACTAGGAGTTCCTTGGAAATTCTTGGCACGCACAGGCTGTTTTCTTTTGTGTTCCACTTCAAGGATGAACCAAGACTCAACACTTTCTGTTGTTCTCACAAACTTTTTAGGGAACTCTCAAGTCTCCTGGAATTCAAAAGCTCAGGATTCCAATAATCACATGCAAACCCATTCCTCTAGGAATAAGTTCAATCTGTGGCACAACTAAATGTTTCTGTTACATAAATGCAAAACTTAACTGAAGCTGATAAATACAAGACTGCGACACCTCAAAGGCAGAAACAGTGAAATTTATTTCCACAGGAAACTTCATTTAGAGGGTATAACTACAGAGATGGTGTTTAAAAATCAAGAAAGGCTCTTCAAGCATAAAGCCAAACCTAAAGAGCTATGTCCTCTGAGCCACCCATCTGCAGGATATTTCATAAATTCCCACAATCATTCATCACAATTCATTCCCCAGTGGAGACTCTGGGCCCTGCTTGGCAAGACTATTTTATTTCAGTGACCATGATGTAAGGGAGAAAATACAGGTTGATGGGAAGCTATGAGATGTCACTAAAAACTGCCAAGCAACCAGTCCCTTAATATAAAATATAAATATAAAAAATCTTGTTTTTCAGAAATGTTAATGCAATATTAAAACAATACACAGTCTCTTTTCTTATGAATAATCAGTACTCATGAAGTAACCCAAACAAAGACAATCTCTACATGCCGTGTGAAAGTAGCTTGGAGTTACCTTTGCTAGGAGTGCAAAAGGAGGGATTGTTGAGGCAAGGGAGAAGGTTTGCTTTTTCCAATCACAGAGATAAAGCAGTTTTCCTCACATAGCTTTCCTCTTCTTCACTTCCCCCCTCCTCCACACAAAACCCAAGAAAAGCTGCCATTGCTTTAGGTCAAAGGAAAAACAGGCCCAGCTGCCATAAGCCAAACACCGTACAGGTTTGCTATCTCCCCTGCTGTTTTGGCTCGAGCTCTTCAGACTGGAAAATTCAGAAGCACGATCTCCCAAGCTCTATAAATGCCAGAACCATCTAAGAGGAAAATAGGACAAGGCCACCCCCAGGCAAGTTTGTACTAAAATCTGCTGGCTGCATGGCAAAAATACAGTAAACATCGCATAGGGACAGACTGCTCCTCAGAAAATATTCCACAAGAACAATATAGCTTCCAAAGAAAGGCTGCGCTAAGGGGACTTCTGGAGGGGAAAAAAATGCAATGTTTTAAAATCCTTGTGAGGAGTTAGCAAGCTAATGGCACACTCAACGACAAATTGTTTGACAGGCAATATGCTTTTGACATTAATCCAAAGAAGAAATGTAAAAGCGACATTGAATGTTCTCTACAAAGTGGTAACAAATTCGGGATCCTAGAATAGTTCTGCAGTTCACTAAGGAAATTTTGCTTTTGTCTTAACAATTGATTACATGGAATAAAACAAGTAATAACAAGCAATTAATTATCAATATCATCACCCTGTCTTTTTCAGGAAGAACAATTTAAGTTAAATTTTTGCAGTCCTTGAGAGATGAACTTTGTAACTGATTACAGTATGTTTTAACGTGCTCTATACTGACTCAACCTTGAAAAACAAGCCAAAAACAGAAGTTGAAACATCCTTTTTCCTGTGTAGCTCCAATTTGCAGTAGCAAGAAGCTAAACAACATGCTCTCCACCAGATGGCTGAAATAAAAAGAACACTCCTTCTGATTAATTAGGAAACAAATGAATCTGCTGTTAGCACAACAAGTTACCATCAGGAAACCTGGGTTCCCATTAAACTTTGATATTTGTGATTTCTCTGCAACTGTGTTCAAGACCATCCTCAGATTTGTCTCTCATTTCAGAAGCAAAAAGTTATACACCAGTCCATCATACACAAGTACCACACCAGCCACTGCATAACCAAAAGGGGTACT